CAGCCAGGGGATGCTGCCCAGGGCCACTGCCCTGTCACCAAATGTCACCGCACAGGCTGCAGCCACAGAGCCCGGGTGGGAAATGCCATGTGCTGGGAGTGGATGGAGAGTCCAGGGTGGAGAAGGAGCCATAGCTCCATTGTTCTGGCAGTGGGTTAGGGCAAGGAGCCATCACACAGCCCCAGGGACACCACCCTGGCCCCCATTACTTCCTGTGGGCCAGGGAAAAGGTGGGGGAGGAGGGAACAAGGGGCATGATGGACACAAGCAGCACCATGGGAAGGGCAGTGGCAGTGCCAGGCCTCCCTGCCACCACCCTGGGAGGACCAACCATGGTGCCACTGGACAGTACCCTGTTGGGGTGTCCTCATGTGCACCCAGTGCCCCCTGTCCTTACGTTCCATTCAGGGCCTTGACACTGGCCACGCGGTCCTGGAAGCCGTGGGCCCAAAGGCTGGGAACGTCGTCATCCACGATCTCCATCTTCCTCCCGGTGTAGCCTGCATTCTCAAAGAGGTGGATCTTGTGGTCGGCGCTGTCCTGGGGGAAAACAGTGGTCAGGGGCTGCCCCCAGCCCCCCGGGACCCTCCCAGCCTGGTGGTCCCCAGCGCTGTGGCCATCCCTAGGGGGCACAGCCACCCCAAGACAGCCCCACTCACGATCTGGATGGGGCGGAGGGACATCAGGCTGTCGCTGAGGTGGCTGTTGGACCAGGAGTCCCAGCGTGGGTAGTCGCCCTTCTCCAGCACGAACTGCTCCCCGGCGTAGCCTTGGCGCTCGAAGCCCAGCCACCTGTGGGACCCCAGCGTGAGGGGGGGATGCTCTCCCTGCCCCACCTCCCCCGAGGCTGATCCATCCTCCCCACCCTGGACTTACGGGCCAGACTCCACCTGGATGGAGCCCACCTTCTCCATCTCTTTCTCAGTGATGTTGGGGAGCTCCTCTGTCAGCTCACACTTCTTCCCCTGGAAATTCTCCAGCTCGTAGATCGTGATCTAAGATGGGGAGAGACACTGTCAGCCACTGCCACAGCCATGCTGTGGAGGGAACACCCTGCCCCACTGCAGGGATCCCCTGGAAATGGGAGCAGCAGGGGAGCAAAGTGGCCATGTCCATCTGTCCCGGTTGCCCTATACCAATGTCACTCCTCACCCACGGCAGAGACAGTTCCTGCCAAGTGCCTCTGCCCTGACATGGCTCTGGGCCTCACTCTGAGGCCATACTCTGGCCGAGGGTGTTTGCTTGAATTTCCTCCATGACAAGCTGAAAACAAGTGACCAGCTCAAACACAGCACTGGAAACACAGAGGGTTTGGGCTGAGACCCCCAGAGTTGTGGGATAGTGTCTCCTGCCCCAGCCTGCTCATGGCCCATCCTTTTCTTATCTCTGCTCCTCCAAACCCAACAATTCCTCTGGCCTGGCCTGGACCAAGCTCATTATTTAGTGTTTCCTTCTAAACCTGTCAGGTACAGAGACCCCAACACCTCCCTGGTCCTTCTGCTCCTGGCAGAGCCTTGAGGCTGAGCTGCAGGATGGGCTGGAGGCAGTGCCGGGAGCAGGAGCACAGCAGGGAGCAGGGCCCAGGGTGCCCAGCACAGTCCAGGGATCAGGAAGGTCCTGGGGCACACCCCCTGGGCCCTGCCCCAAAGGGGTCCCAGCTGCAACCCCTGAGCCCGGGACAAGGGCAGAGCCTCCTGCAGACACCACGTATGGGGGGTTCAAAGGACAGAGGTGACACCCGTGTTCCTCAGGAACTTCTGCGCACTCCAAAGCAATAAGCAGCCCAAGATCCCAGCACTTCTTTACCCCACTTGCAGGATCTGCTCCCACCTCCAGCCTTCCCAGCCAGGAACAGCTTTGCCTGGTGTCCTGAGCTGCGGGAAGGGCTGCAGCCACCGCACCCCCACAGTTGATTTACCTCCAACCAACCTACGAGCTTAATTCAAACCTAAACACACAGCCAGAGAGTTTCACTGCCCAGACCCACAGCTGGTCCCACTGTGACGGGATGCTTTGTCTCCTGGATTAAATCACTGGGCAGCTGCACACCAGACTGGCGGGAGAACGCCCCTGGCAGCCACACAGGCAGGGACAGCATCCCTCCTGCCAGGCAGCAGCAAATCCTCGGCCCCAGTCTCCCTCCCCAGCCTGTGGCTCCACTCAGCACCCGGGCGGTGACACCCACGCGCTGCTGCAGGAGAGCTGGAGGCCGCTCATGTCCCCAGTACAGCCTGCAGTGCTGGTACTGGTTCCAGCCTGGCTCACACACATGCATCCCACGGGGACCCACAGCATCCCCCAACGTCCGTCTGGAACCAGTTGCCCCCAGTATACCTTGTAGATGCCACCTCGCTCGCCAGCTCCCTCCCCAGTCGCCATCTGCTCGGGGGGACTTTGCTGCTCAGTCATTATGCCTGGAAAACCCAAATTGCAGGAGGTTAACGGGCTCTGAAGTCCTTCATAAAACACAAAGGATGAAGCTGGCCTAGGAACAGGCAGAACAGCTAACACAGATCCCCAGTGCAGCAGCTGTAAATCCCCACGGATGTCTGGGCTAGGAGGAAGCTCTGTGATCCATCCTCCTCCCCCTCCTGCACGTGGGCCCCACATCCTCACCCAGTTCATCTGCAGGACCGACCTGAGCCATCTCCCAAGGGACACGGATCCCTCTGCCTTGGGCAGCTCACCCAGTTGTCACTAAACTCCTGTCTCACAGCTTGGCCTTTGTTTCCAGCAGGAATTTGCCAGATTTCAGCTTCCAGCTGCTGACATCTTTTCCCACTAACATAAACCTGACACCTCTCCCTTGCTCCAGTATCCCAGGGGGCACCGGACGCGGCAGCTGGAGCTGCTGCTGCTGCCTTGGCTGGGGGGACGGTGGCGAGAGCCCCCTCCTCGCTCTCCAAGAACATCCACAAAGCTCCTGCTCAAATAGGAAACCCGCTGGAAAACGCTTCCCTGGCCTCGCTACGCAAGGGTCAGCGAGGGGTTAAAAGACGAATAAAAGAGTTCGATCAATGTCCTTAATCAAACCCTGCAGCATCACTTCTCGCCACGCACGAGCCAACCCTTCACTCGGTGACACCTCGACTCAGACACTCTAGTTCTGTTTTAAAGCCCCTTCCAGTCCAAGCAGTGCTGCTGGTACCTCTCCGGTGTGGTTCCGCTCTGCCGGCGGCACGGTCGGCCCCGCTATTTATGGGTTGCTTCTGAACAGAACAGCACATTATCCGAGCGCTGATACAGCAGCTGCGTCCACGGAATTCCATCCATGAGATTTCATCTCAATAGCGCGGGCTATGGAAACGTCATTCAGATTTCTCCCGGCTGTCCCTCGGAAATGGGCCACTCGATTTACAGAAGATTAACGTCGAAATTCACATCAGCACGTTCACGCTGCTTCTTGCCAGGTTCTCTGGAAAACTCTCCCATCAGCATTTCACGGGAGGGTTTAGCCTGGAAACCGAGCGCAGCGCAAAGCAAAAACCGGGCAAAATATTGACCGTTTGTTTGGGCTCCGACACAAGATGGAGTGGGGTCGGAGTCGGCTCTGGGAACTTGGAGGGAAGCTGGGGCAGTTGGTTCCAGGGCAGGAAAGGACCTCAGGATCTCCAGGTCAGGGTTCTTGCTTCAGCTTTGGCCCTTACCAGGATGGTTCTCTCCACTGAGCCTGTTCGTTCTTTGGCTCCCAGTCCCGCTCCCTCCCCGGCCCATTTCCCAGGAGCATGTTGGCACACAGCAGGGTTTGAGGCACATCTTGGGGTGTATAACAGGTGGTTTTGGGAGCCAAGTGCCTTGTACAGGGGTTCATCCACCTCTACAGGCACAGGACAATGTAACTGGGGGGAGTACAGCCCTTCCACACCAGGCACCAAGCTGGGAGTGTTTCACTCAGCTGATTTCCTCTTCGACTTTAAAAGTCCTTTCCAACCCAAACCATCCTATGACTCCCCAAGGAATGCTGAGTTCAGCTGCACGCAGCACACAGCACCATTTACAGCTCTTGCAGGGTTTCCTACCTGCTCCGATCACGGCTCATCCTGAAATCCAGAACTACACGAGAAACCTTTACTGAAATTGTCAGAAAAGCAAATGCCCTGGGCCAGGCATTTGAACCGGAATGGAAACCTGTCCCGTCGTGCTGAGCATTAGAGCTGCTCATGGCAAGGCCCTTCATCCCCATCCCATCCTTCAGTAGCATCCTGGAGCTTCCCATTTCCCCACAAAACATTCCATCCCTGCAGAAATCAGCCATTTACTGTTCCAAGTCAGGTATCTGCTGTGAAAATGAACCCCCTGCACCACAGCCCGTGTGGGACACGCTAACACCTCCCACACCACCACATCCCACTGACTTCATTTTCCACAGAGCAGCCCCAGCCCAGCCTGTGCTGGCAATCCTGCTCCCTCCAGGATGCACTGACCACTCCTGGAGTGTACCGGGGCTGGACCATGGAGTTATGGGCAGGCAGCTCCTCCAGCTCCACAAGGTCAGTTAAAGGGCACCAACTCTGCAGCACCAGCCCCAGCTTTTTCCATCACAAGGGGAAAAGGAGCCGAGACTGAAGTGCCTGTTACTGGGGCAGGGATGGTTAAATCAAAGGATATGAATTATTTACCTGACATTTGCCCTGATCCCCTCTAAGTCATTCTGTGCTCCAGTTCTCCCTGGGCCACCTGCACATCCAACCATATCCTGGGTGCAACACCTGAGACAGGCGGCACATTCCGGTGTCTGCACAAGGGCTGAGGTAACAAACCTTTCACAGGCACCACTTTGCATTCCCAAATCTGCACCATGGTGCGTTTTAGTTTGCCAATAAACAAATTCCAGGGTGAAACGAACTTTTGTGCAAGAGAAAAGGGGGTGGTGTGTGGGGGGGTAATTCCTGTCAGGCCACTTCAGAGAAAGTCTTGGATGTCTTCCATCTCCATCAAACAGCAGAAAAAAACACGTGGTAACAAAAGTTAAAGTGTAAAAAATTCCAACAAACATTATCTGGAATTAAAATAGAATTATATAAACTGTATTACAGTCTGTTCTATCATTTAAGAAGTAATAACATATTTATATATCTTTTATTACAGAGTGATAGCCCGGAGAGAAGGAAGTAGATATTTAATCCATGTACAATATAAAGAAATAATAGAGCAGAAAAAACACTGTCCCATTCAACAACATTCTAAAGATGCTTTTTAATTAGACATTTAAGCATTAAACATTTCTCAGTAGTAGGTTAAACTACTCAATACAGTAAGTTTCAGTGCATTGTCCAAGCAGACGTGGAAATGCAAACACATTCAAGGGCTTCGTGGAAACCTCGTGTTAATCCCCTCAGTTTCCTCAACACACAGCAAACAGTTACAGAATTTCTGGCCTTCAGTTATGAGACCAAGAGCCAGTAAATCCTCCAACTGTTGGGAACACAACACTGTCACCTGCTCCAGTGGAAAATCCAGCCTGTGTAAATGTTCCTGTAAGCAGGGAATTACCTGATTAGTGGGGTTAAAACAGGCCCCACATCATCTGAGTGAGCAGAGCCATCGCCACCCTACTCACACCTGCACAGGCTGCTCGGGCTGGCCCAGGTGTGTGTCACACCTGGGACACAGCGATGGAACCCTTGGGTGCTGCCATAAAAAATGTATCCCGAAAGAAAAAGAGTTGCCTTTTCCACCATCATCTAAAGGAGAGAGAAGAAAATCTGTGCAACGTTTTAAAATGAGCTGAGAAGAGCTGGTTGATGGTGGTGGCTGAGCTCGACAGGGCCCACCTCCCAACTCCCAGCATCAAAGATCCTGGGGGATCCCTGCTCCATGGGGAGCAGAGGGGCTGCAAAACTAACAGTGGCAACAGCTCCCATAACAAATAGGGCAGAGCAGCAAGGAAAGACTTTTACATAAGATAAATGTCTTCGTCTCATCTCCACACCGGGAGCTGCCATCAGAGCTAAATCTGGGAGCGAGAAATGGGCATATGGGACTTGTCTCCTGACATCCTGCTGCTATTTCCTAGAGCAGACTGGGACTGCAAATCACCTCCTCTGTGACTCCTTCATGAGAAGAATTGGCACATGGTTTTGGCAGCTACAAGCCTGACAGACAGCAGAGCAGGCAGGCCACCGCTGTGGTAACCCCACGGGAATCGAGCTCCCAGAACACTGATCGGAAAAAAGAGAAAGGAAAATGAGGGGAAGTGCTGGTGCTTTATGGTTAGAATCTAGAGGAGCCCCTCAGCAGGACATAGGAAGTGCAACCCAAGGAGCAGCCCCAGCTCTGGCAGGTGAGGAGAACACTCCACTCTCCGTTCCCTCTTCATGCTTTCCTGGTCGAGCCTGAGGAATTTGACAGGACAAATCACCTCCCTTCTTGGGCTTCATTTTTAAAGGTTCACTGAAAGAGCACTTATCTGGGACAAGAATCAGTTATGTCTTACATGGCCATGGTGTTGGTATTTCAGAATCAGAGATACAGACATGTCTGGGGATGAGTGATTCCCAAACACCCGCGTGGTCCATGAGAGCCCTACTCCGCTATCAGCACATCGGTCTTGCCAAAGGAAGGACAGGAAATCATCTGAGAAACTGAAGATCACATTTAGGTTATCTCACAAAATCAGCATAAAAATAAAAACTTAAACCTGGTATTTACAGATTAACAAATAAAAATAAGAAGTGGGACTATCCAAACTGCTATTAAAGTGACATTCAACAATTAACTGGAACCCTGATATGAGTGTAACATCCTCCCTCTTCCCTTCCTTTTTTGTTATAAAAACAGTATTTACATATTTTTACTTTTTTTTTTTAAAGAGAACTGGTTGACATTATTGCTTGATCCTTTTTAGGAAAGACATTCCAATGAAGCAATTATTCCACATGCTGACAAAACACAGAATATACCACTTCAAGAGTGACAAAAGTTAACATTTTGTTCATCTAAAAATTATCTCCATCTGCCAGGTCAGCAGATCACATGTAAATATAAGCCAATCAAAAATACATTTTACAAAAAATAATCAAGTTTCCTTTTTCAATATGGCAGTAAACATGATTTGTTCTTCCACTCTCACCTTCCACAAACTTCATTCTAAATAGGAGCTTACTATTTGTTTCAAAAAAAAAAAAAAAAGATAAATTTGATTAAAATTGTTATTTTCATAAACAAACACAAAGCCCAGCCAGACACATCTACCAGAGGTCACAGCTCTGAGTGCTGAACACCTACACAGTTCGACAGCGAGGGGAGTTCCCTGCATCACAGCACTCCCAAGTATCTTCATTTTCCAAGACTTTCTGAAGTGCTAACCAGGAACCATGGGTCCTCCTGGCAGGCAGGTCTGAAGTGACACCATCCCCCTGACCTGACAGACACAGCTTTGTATTTGACTATGAATTGAAGCAGCTTTCTCCACAAAACAGGAAGGCACCATGCACAGAGCAGTTGAGGCAGGAAGCAAACAGCAGCAACATGACATGGGGGTTTAGGTTCAGATGAGTTAAGGCTTCTGTTAAACTTCTTTATCTTCTTCTAGTTAGAATCACTGTCTGGAAGGAAAAAACAGAAGGAATTGAAGTAATGGTGTGACACAGTCAGACAGTCAGCCCCTCCCAGGGACTACGATAGGAAACCCCCCAAAATGTGTATTTCTGTTGTAGTGTCACCTTGGTATTGTCCTATTTAACATATTAAAAGCTCAAAAGCTGCTAGAAATTCTGCTGGAACAACACAAGGTGTTCAAACTGTGTGCAAGCCTCGGTTATGCAGCACCAGACTTGTTCTTGCCTGCTGGAAGCACCAAGAAATCACAGCCCCAACAGAGCAAGGGTTGTGACAATTAAATTATCTGCAGAGAACCAGTGACACTTTCACCTGGGAGTGAAACAACACCTGCTCTGCCCTAACACACAACTACTGACAGTCCTGGTGGATGTGGCAGGGTAAAGGTCTCAGAGTTAGTGCTGACACAGTGCTTATTAAAGAAAGTGTGGTTTTGTCTCTGCACACCCACACTTAGCAAAGCCCCCCTTCCTGCCCCAGGTACCTTTTCAAACCTGATTCTCGTAATGGCTCTGTCTCTTCTTTGATTTCAGCTCCTTCAACCACTGAGGAGACTTTTCTTCTGACCTAAGATATAAAAAAATAATCTTTATTCCTTCATTATGAAAACTCATTATAGAAACAAAAAAAGAAATATCCAATTTCTTGCATTATTTTTTTTTTCTTCCACCAAAACCAGTATCAGCATCGTTGGGGCTGGAATTCTCTCACCTGTCCTCCTTCTCCACACTGGAGGGCAGCACTCTGCTCCCGGGAGTCCCTAGCTGGGCTTTGGGGGATTTGAAGAGCTGAGCAGAACCGGTGTCCCCAGCACTCTCAGACTCTTGTCTTTTCCGTAGCTGGGCCTAAATAAAAAAACAAAGAAAGGGATCCCTTTAAGCAAGCATTCAGGCTTTTTTTTAATGCAAACCAGATCACTCATTTATAAAAACAAAAAAAATTCATGCCTAAAATCAGGGCAGGGATTCCTTATAAAGCATCAGCAGCTCCTGAACTGGTTTATCTCTCACCTGATGTGCTCTGCCTGCGCTCACCTTGAGAACAGAATGATCCATTCCTGGGAACACGGGGAGTCTCTGGGCTTGTACCGCAGATGACCTCGGAGTATGCTGGATCTTCTCTTCCTCCTCAGAATCTTCCTGTTGCATAGTTTTCTTCTCCTCTAATTAATTGTTTAAAAAAAAGCAGAGTGGGGGAACCATTAGTCAGCTTTTCATCTATCCCTTGTTCTAGATCTCTCCTTCCATTCAAGTGCAAATGAAGAGCAGGATTTAGAAATGTCATTTAGAAACTCCCGCCTTACACCCAAGCTGATCACAGCTGATTATTTCAGGTAGCTGAGGGATACCTGTGGAATCCTTGAACATCCAGGCATTATCTGGTTCTTCCACCAAGGAAAATCTGTTCTCAAACTCCAGTCCTCTGCTCCTCCTCAGCGAGTGGGACGTGGGGTTCCGGCGGCGCCGCTTTTTGCTGAGCTGCACCCGAGTTTTGAGGGCACTGGAGTCCAGGACAGCCGTGTGCTGGAAAAAACCCACACCCTTCAACCAGCCTGGAAATAAACTCCATCTCCTCCACAATGACTTCCCAACCCCCGTCATTGCATTAACCCATTCAGTTTATTAAACTATTTGCCTGCTTATTATTCTTGTAGTTAAAACTTAAACAGAATTTATGGTGAGGGGGTGGTGCATCGTGGCTCTGGGCTGTGGATGTCTGATCTGCATTAATTATTTGCACTAAATTAATACAAAAAATAACTGCAATACATAGGAGTTTGGTTCCTAGAGTGTTTTATGAATACAGGTCTTCCTAGCTAATAGCAGCTGAAGGCCAATCTGAAGAGTGGGATCTAAGAAGAGCAAGTACGCAAAATCCTCTCCCAGTGCAGTGCTGCAGCTTCCCTGCCAGCCACAGACATTCAAAGCCACTCACCAGCAACAAGGACACTCCAAATTTAGTGTCACAGCATTCAGAAAACGTCTGTGATCAGTCACTTCCAACACATCCTATAGGCAATAACATTTACAAACCAAAACTAGGAGCTGTAATTTATTTACTTGCTTAAAGCAATTTGCTGTTAGAGACTTCCCTGCAACCAGGAGATATTCCTGAGCCTCCTCTTCTTCAGAAGATGTGGGTTTGTTTCTTTTCCAGAGATTTCAGGTCAGGAATAAACTACTCAATAAACAGCATTTTCCAGCCGTACTTGGAGCTACTCATGTTTTACTGAGACACCTTTAGCGGCCCAGGGACAGCACAATACAGGATCTTCTGGAAGTGTTCAAACACCGTGTGGATGTGGCACTTGGGGACATGGGTTAGTGGTGGCCTTGGCAGTGCTGGGGCAATGGCTGGATTCAGTGGTCTTGGAGGACTTCTCCAACTTAACCAAAGTTCTTGCAAAGAACTCTAACCTCATTAACTGTGTATGGCCAGAAATTCCTGGTCTTATACCAGTGCAAGATTTTTCAGTATGAAAAAATCCTTTAAAATGCAGCTATGAGTTATTACAGAAAGAGCCTAATTGTAAATAAGAAAAATATTAGTGAATGCCTTTATAGCCTTAAATCTGCATGGCTCACAGCACATTGTGTTATTTAATTATGTTTCCAGTGTTCATAAAGCCATTTAATTCTTCTGTTACAGCTCAAAGAGAAACAGCAACTCTAGGAAGACACTGGCAGTGCCCAGAGCAGCTGGAAGTGTTCAAGACCAGGTTGGACAGGGTTAGCAGCAACCTGGTCTAGTGGAAGGTGTCCCTGTCTATGGCAGGGGGTGGGAATGGATGAGCTTTAAGGTCCCTTCTAACCCGAATCAGCCTGGGATTCCATGTTTAATTATCTGAGACCAGCAGCTTTATGGAATCTCTCGGAACCTAAACATTGCAGAGACTAGAAGAACTTTGATCCTAAGCTTTTCAGGCAGGAAGGCAGCTGAGAAAATTCAGTGTGGGAAAGGAAAGGCAGAAGAAAACTGGGTGCAAATTTTCCAGAAGAAACTGCTTTGCAGTGATTAACACAGGGAACAATACAGGTGACACAGAAGGAGAATTTCTGTTTCCCATGATGGCAACTTACATCAATGAAGGAGAAATCAGTGGTCTTGTCATCAGGGAATGTGTCTCCCGCAGGAGGTAAATCAGTCCCATCAGTGGAGTCCATGTCAGTGCTGGAACGGTCCAGGCTGGTGCTCCTTTGGTCTTTGTTGAAGTCATGGTGCTCAGCCAGGGAGGGCTGTTCTGTCTGCGAGGACAGCGAGGACGGGCGGCTGTTCGGGGCCTGCTTCCGCGTTGAGACAACGTCATTTTCCAGGGAAGGGGATTCGGGCACAAAGCTGAAAATGGAGCAAATGGCATCTGTGAGACTTCAGGGTAAACAAACACCCTGCAAGGACAGTCTGGATCACACGTGGTCAGGAGAACTTAAATAAAGGTGGAACTGAAACTACAGCTATGAGGAGCCAAGGCACCTTTGGAGGCAGCAAGTACCAGCAACATTTGGGTGTGGATCCCTTCCATCAGCTTTCATTCCTTGGATTTACAGTATATTGGGGATTGGGGTGTATTCCAGCCAGCCAGAGGCTTTTCCCTTCAGGAATGCTGGAGCTGAAGGAGAGGTGGGCACCAGGTGGCACCCTAAGGCTGGGCTCTGCAGGCAGAGCTTTAGGGGTGTCTCAGGGAAAGCGCACAGGGTGGCAGGAACTGCACACCAGTGCTGGGATGCTCCCAGTGTATTCCTAGGATTCCCTCCTTTGCCTAGACTGACAGGAACGAGCAATAGTGTCCAGGACCCGCACCCCAGTGCTGAGATGCTCCCAGGGTATTCCCAGAAATCCTCCCTTTGCCTAGACTAACAGGAATGAGCTACAGTGTCAGGGCTGAAAGCTGTTACAGTGGTGTCTCCCTTTGTCACACAGGCTGGAATATTCCTTTAAACAACAGGATAAAGTAGGAATATTCTACTGTCAGTAAAAATCAGGCCGTATTGCTTCTAATTCCCAGTTTAAAAAAAAAAAAAACAGAACCAGAAGTATTTATGGAATTCTAATTTTTCTCCTCCTCTTGGAGGAAGTCTTTTCTAACTAAGCACCATTTCTTGAGCACATATCTAGGAAAACTGTTCTAAACCCAAAAGTACATGAACATATCAATATATGCCCATTTTTTAAACAATAAACCTTAGTATTTGGTACAGCCCACAGTGACAGCAATCCTGGGAAGAAAACACTCAGGAGTTTACTGCTGGATAACAACATCCATCAGCACCAGTACATGGTACAACGTCCAGCCTGGCAGAGCAGACACTGCACAGAGGGCTTCCAGCACACGAGCACAGGGAATGCTGCTTCCCTTCTTCACCAGTGGGCCCCAGGATAATTAAGAATGGCACTAATGAGCTCCAGGACAAGTTTTTGTCTAGGATTTTTGCTTCGAATGATATTTGGTATCCACAGCGTCAGTCTTTAGACCCACTGCAAGAATGGGGAGAGGAGAGACAATCTGCAGGCTTAGGACGTTTCATGGAAATTAAAGTGTGTGTTGAAAGGATCCTGTCTGATGTGCACATCTCCAAAAAGCCTCTTCCCTGCTACATCCCAGGGCTGCAGCTGATACAACTCCCTAAGGTTTTTCAAACCAAAATATCCGAGAGGAAGATGTGACAGAAATCCAGCTGAATTTACACTGGTTGGTGGTTCCTCATTCACCAATCTTCCCAATGGATTCTCCTTTGGAGCTCCTGCACAATTACAACCCTGTTACACACCGATTCCTGTGGCATAGCCCATCCCCAAAAGTGGGAAGGATGCCTGGAGTCGAAACCCTGTCATGCACAGTGGATTCTTTCCAACTGAACAGCAAATTAGGGGGGAAATTCCCGTCAAAAAAATGAAATTGAAAACACATTTTCAGTTCTCATTACTGAGATGTATAATGCACCTTTTCCTACTGCTTCATTAAGATTTCAGGGTTTATAAGCATATCCATAAACTGCCCCCAGTGTTCCACAGGTGCATTTACTTCTCTGAAAAATCATCCTTCATGTGGAGCACAGAAAACCAGTAGGATGGTTATCACAATGGGCAATAAACTGAGATCAATCCTCACTTTCACTTGCAATTAAATGTAATTAGTTTTAGCAAGACAGTGTTAAGAGGCCATAAAGAATGTGTTGCTTCAGCATGTGAAATTAGGAGTCAGAAAGGAAAGGAATCCTGCTTTTATACTGCTGAAGAGTGAGAATCCAAAGGGAGCTCTCACTGTTTGCCTGGTGTGTCACACAGGAAACAATGTCCATTCAAAAATCCCAGAATCATTTAGGTTGGAAAAGACCTCCAAAACCATCGAGTCCAACCTGTGACTGATCCCCACCTTGTCACCCAGCCCAGAGCACTGAGTGCCACATCCAGTTGTTTCTTGAACACCTTCAGGGATGGGGACTCCCCCACCTCCCTGGGCAGCCCCTTCCAATGCCTGACCACCCTTTCCAGGAAGAAATTCCTCCCTTTATATGCCCTTTTGTATTCTGTAGTTGCAGGTTCCCATCTAATACAGGTGTCTATACACTGTCTCTGGAAGTGTTCAAGAACCAAGCAGACGTGGCACTTGGCCATATGGTTATGTGGGCACGGTGGGATTTGGGCAAAGGTTGGACTCAATGACCTTGGAGGTCTTTTCCAACCTTAATGACTGTGCTTCCATGAAGATGAGTTCATTCACAGGTGCATTAATGAAACACTCCTAAAATGATCACTCCATGGCTCAAACACCGGGAAATGCCCAAACCTAGAGGTTCCCCCAGCACAGCACAGGCACAGCAGGGTGGTGACACCGTTGGGTCCCCGCTGTCGGGGCGGGTGCGTGCGAGACACGACACTACGGGTGTGCAGCTGGGAAGGGATAAACTCTGAGGGAAGTGAGCCAGGCCAAACAGGAAAGCTGGATTATCAACGTCTCCTGCAAGTTCCTGCCCCCAAGCTGAGGCCAGGAGGAGGCAACGAAGGCAGAGCCCTGCTCATAGCACCCGTGGTGGGATGGGGAGAACATCTCACTGGTTCTGGCAGGGGCTGCCTGCTTCATAAAAAATACACTGCAGACAAAATGCACTTGCAATACATTCCAGGAAGATTTCCATTATTTAAAAGTACATTAATCTCATTCCTCTCTGAGTGCCTGATTAATACATGAGTAATTCCCCCACAATGAGCCATAAGTCAAGCCAAAGCAGAGCAATGGGGTGGTAAAATGCTGAGAAGTCTCTACACTGTCATCATTACACTGTAAAAAAAGCAAAACCCAAACATTCCTTACGGTGGAAACAAAATTGCCGCACATGGGGATTGAATTCAATCCTTCAGTGCACTGGAACGTTTAGGTGGAGCTGTTCATACCAGCATAGATGGACTGAAATCACTCTCCAATGCTGTCTGCTTCGGAGCTGAGATAAGCACCTTTGTTAGGAAACTGATCTCAGAAAATGTCTGTACCATCCTGAAATCAGAGTTAATTTTACAGCAGCCTGGCTGTCACTGTTGGCACGTCACTCAGCTCGCTGAACCTCAAGCTGAAAACTACCCTGATTTCATAAGCAATAAAATATTTATAACACACAGTTCTCAACTGCAGAACACACCAAACAATTGACATTATTGTCAGCTATAAGATCTCAACGAGCACAGCATTAAAAACCATGTAAAATGCTATTTTCATACTACACTGAGCAGACAGGACACAGGCTCAGGGTAGATCAAGCCATAATTTACACAAAAGATGTAAACTATAAAAAACCTCACACTTTGCTGCTCTAGGTTTATTTCATTTCATCATTTTAAGAAGAGAAAAGCATCAGCAATACAATCTTTCACTCGACTGATATTCCATTTCATCCTCCACCACAATGAAACACTTCAGAGTCTGGAAGTGGCCACAGTCCCTCAAGGTGTATCAGAGCACATGGAGAGGTGCATCCCATGTCACCACACCCAGCACCCAGAGCCCTGTTCCAGAGGGATTTGCCATTTAGCCCACCTGGTAGCATGGCTGTTAAGGCAATGCCAGTGGGAGAGAAACAGATTTATAAGCAAATAAAACACATAAAAGTGTCCAAGGCCAGGCTGGACAGGGCTTGGAGCAACCTGGTCTAGTGGAAGGTGTCTCATGGCAGAGGGTTGGAATGAGATGAGCTTTAAGGTCCTTTCAACCCAGGCCATTCTGGGATTCTATGACTTCCTCTCACTCCTCAGCTAAGAGAAGCCTCAGGCCTGCAGAGGGCCACGTCCCCCTCACCTGTCCCCGCTGTGCCGCTGCTCGTTCCAGGTGCCGTACTGGCTGTCGGGCTCCTGCACCAGCGTGTCCGTGTCCTTCGCTCCCGGCGCCTGCCTGGAGAAGCACTGCCTCAGCTGGTCCTGCAACGAAACATTTCATCAGTTGGCTGAGAGATTAACAGGTTTTATTGGCAACAGTGGGTTTGAATCTGCTAGTTAGACTTGGTTAACGTAAAACCGGGAATAAACTTAGACTTGGAAAACAGCTGTGAACTCAGAATGACATTCTCTATACAATAAGCATTGTTTTCCTGGGCAAATAATGGATTCTAGAGGCTGGAAGTGACTCCCTGGTTTCAGTAACTCCAAGCTGCTTTAATATTGCTCTTATCTCATTGCACAGAATTTCACAAAGCACCTAGGCAAGCACAAGGAATTCTGCTGGGAACGGCATTTCATCTCGCAAGCACGCAAGGCAAACATCAACTCTACTGCTCTTTTCCTGGGTTTAATAAAAGGACCCATTTTTTTCCCAGCTTTCTTTGGAAGACATTCAAAATAAAATGAATAAATAAATAAATAAGCACAGGGCCCCTATAAATAAATAGCACAGAAAGCCCTTGACAAACTGATGTGTGCTGAGGCAACGTTCAAACCCAGCGCAGGACAGACCATGCTGGATTTGCTCTGTTCTACTCTGACCTCTCACTTCCTGAGTGTTTTTATTTCATGGATCTTCTGCTTTCATAGGCAGGAAAGAGTGGATCCCAGGCCCTTTCCTTTCTGGGGAGAGAAGTGTGTCAGTGCTGGCACCCCAAATTTGCAGCAGAGCAATGTCAATAAAGCCCTGCTGCACCTTTGCTTTGCAGTTGTGCTGAGTTACACACTGAGGTTTGAGTCATGAAATCCTACACTGTGAACACATAATTAACTGTTGGTCCCTTTCACCTTCATTACCCTGAACAAATACAAACATGGCTTTCAGCTCCAAATCAGCTTTGCTTATCAAGATTTTATCTGACAGCAGATTACATGGTTTTTCCACCTGCCCTTGGGAAAATCCAAGGATTTTTCTCTCTTTGTAAACCCCTCTACCTCAGACCCACCTAGCAGAACATATTTGTGGAAACTACCAACACATCTAGTTATGTTCAGGCAGCACACACAAAGTAGCAATAATATTAAGAAATCCCATATTTAATATAGAGAATTCCTTCATATTTTTGAGAAAAAAAGAGATGCATGTTTTCTTCACTTTATACACCTAAAGAATGCTGCCTTAAGACTACAAAAACATTAAGGATAATTCACCAATGCTGATACTTGGCTGCTGAAGAAGTCCCTCAACACTTCCACCTCTCATAGCCAGTTCTTATTTCCCAGGGGCCACAGCAACTCTCCAGCCCTATGGCACTCTCTGCTGCTGCCAAAGTGTCTCTTTTAATGCAGAGAGAAACAAACCACAAAAGGCTCCACCATTTACTCCAACTACCACCATACACCATGACAGGACAAAGTTAAATTCCCAGTTTGTGATACTCAAGCAAAACTGGGGCTCAGTTTGGGAGTTACACAGAACAGATGTTTCCTGCTTTTCATTCCAGATGTTCCTGCAGCCCCAGGATTCACTGGCAGTGATTCTAACAGTTTATAGAATCGTAGGACCGTTAAGGTCGGAAAAGACTTCTAAGATCATTGAGTCAAACCTATCATATATGTAGAGATAGATAAATAAATACATGTACACCCAGAGACAAATTGAGTTCTCACATTTCCCAGTCCATGCCAGGTACAAGATTCCAACCACAAGCCAGGCACAAGCTGCTTCCAACAAGAGAAATAGTCTGGTACTCCCTAGAAACCACACGGCATTTCTTCCTGCTTGGCTCAGGTTTTCGCTTCCACAAATTCCCTCTGTAACTTCCCAATCCTGTGATTTGCTCCAGGGACTCCACTAACACCCCTGGGCTCGGCCTTCTGCTCTCACCTGGTAGCCACAGCACCCTTGGCAAGTGGATGCACTTCTAGGAAAGGCACTAACAAATGCCAGTCGTTCTTCTCACTCCCTTCCCCCACTATCCACGCTTGTTCAGGGGTTTTTTTCCAACCTGAAACTCATTAGGAATTTTTTTTTCCAATCCCAATCTCACATTACAAGTTACCCTGTTCTTGTAATCAATTTGTACAGGGTATTTTCCGCCAGCTATGACTAAGGGCCATTACTCCACGCATGGCATAGACTGTTTTACTGCAATCATGTTGTTTCTAGCTAGAAAACAGTCTAAAAAGCTTAGAAACAAGAATGGGAGCACTGGGGAGGCCTTGTTTACGCAGTGCTGTGTTATCTGGCCGTGGTGGCTGGAAGGAGATGCGTGGCCAGCCCTGATAATGCCGGCGTGGCAGCCACGGGGAAGTGCAGATGCAAATACATGGCTGGTGCGAGGGCTCAATAATTCTTAATAACATCTTACGCTGCAGACAAACTGATCTGCACATATTCCTCAGTTTCAGGCAACGCTTGACTTGATGTTAATAGATACTTGAACTTTGAGATGGCGTTTTACAGCCAACATGACACAATTAACAGTGTTATTCTCTATGCTAAACCCAAAACAAGCCTGAAAAAGAACTAACATTACCGCTTCTGAAGACACTGTGAGATTAAATTCAATGAAACAAACAGAAAGTCTAAACATGAGGAATAAAACCCTCCAAATTCCAAGAGATCTGTAATGCTCTAGATTCCAGAGACTTTGTTCTATTCGGTATTGCTATTGCGTTTTGCTTCCGGAGGAAGCTACTTATTTCAAGATGACAGTGTCTTTCCCTGACAGTCCCTTTCAACACATACTTTAAATGATTAATTGGAAAGCATAACCATTCTTTAGGTACCAAGCACAGAAATAAGGAGCGGGAAGAGGAGCTGATCCTCTCCCCAGCTTGTGGAGGAGGTGTTGGCTGAGGGCATGGAGGAAAGCAATTTATAGCCTGTGAAGCTCGGAGGAGAGGGGTGTGCTGAGCAAAAACAAACCCTAAAAATTATCCTCTCCAGAAGGTGATTATTAACAAGCAAAGAATGATAAGTTTTAGCTTTTCTTTCAAAGATCTCTTTTATATCATTTTCACCATGCTCCAGAACAACTCGAGGTGATCAACACATGAAGCCAGGCCAGGTACAGCCATTTCCTCCATAAACAAAATATTCAGGATACAGTAAAGCCAGACATTTCAAAGGAAAGGACAGTAAAAAGAGGGGTCTAGTGTCTTTTTAGAGCCAGAAGATAAGCCCAAATTAGGAATTTTCTTATTTATAATGACAGAAAAATCTCCCCAAATAAATACCACACTCGATCCAAGTTTCAAATGCTGTAATTCCTTGATCTTTGATCTTTTAACTTCCCAATTCTTATGCTAGGAGCAGGAAAAAATTGACTTAATTTTCATATAAAATAAAGCAGCTGAGCTGTGTCCTGCTTTGCCTCTGGTTCTTCTTCTAAAATGAGACATTATGATTATGCCTTTTTCAGTCCTCCCTTGGAATTAAACTGGGCTTGGCTATAGTCCAGGGCTGATTACTCCTGCAATTTCCAGTTCCTGAAAATGATGCACACACAATATTGGTTCTACCGGCCCAAAAATTACCCGTAGCTCTGAGTGAGCGGAGACGTTTTTGTGAAAAGCCCTCCCGCACTAATGTGAAATAAAGACCTGGCATAGGAGGAACACCAGCTCGGAGAGATCTCATGAGTCAGAAGCTGCACAGACAGTTTCAAAAATATCTTTGTTTGCAAAGGAGCCTGAGACATCAGCCAGGGGAAGTGACAGCCCACAGCTTGAGTGCGAATGTTCAAAGCTAAAATCCACTGGCATAGACTGGATATGAGGAGGAACTGCACAATGGAAGGAAGTTTTGACCATCTGCCTTGTTAATACAGAACTCAGAGAAAAAACTGTGCTTATTTCTTGAAAAGTGCCTTTTTTTTTTTTTCATTTTCTCTCTCCTTTTTTTAATCAAAGAAGTCAGAGATTTGGTCAAATTGCCCCTTAAGAGTGACACTGCATTTAAGCACAGTTTACAAGTCCTTTCAAATCCAGAAAACCATCACAACTGTTCCCCTGCAGACTGCCAGGAGGATGGCAAAATACCATCTATTCTATTAATTTTGTATTCTATTAATATTGTATTTTATTATTTCACAGTTGTCTCTGCTTTGACCAGGATGCTGGGCTCCATGACCTTCATAACCCTTTATAATCTGAATTATTCTAGGATTATTCCAAGAACTATTAATAGAAGGTAAACCATACATTTTGGACTACTAACAGAATTATCAGGACATAACATCATATTGACACCAACCAACACCAAAAACCCACCACACTAAGAGGGTCTATGGGTCACAGCCCACAGATTTTTCTTTGGAAGCACCCAAATGCTGAAACAGTAAGGGGAAAGTCTGACTCCATGGAATCAGCATCCCACAATTTCCATCCATACTCACTATCCGGCGAACGAGCGCTGCCCACAAGGAGTAAGTCATGGCTCCCTCCCAACGTTCCCGTTAGTTCCTGGCAATCAGGTGAGGAGATGGACCAACTCCAGGTTTAAATTAGTTGCTGAAAGGAGTAAATGCCTCAGGGAATGTCCCAGGCTGGGGCAGCACCTTCTGCCCCCACCCTCCAACACTGCAGCCACAGATAAACAGTTCCAGGAATTGAACAGCTTCTCTCTGACCTCACGGATGAGGAAAGTTAAAGACCTCCAGCGCCGGCTCCACAGCGGGCAGAGCCACGTGGGACAACTCCTCAGCCCGCCCCAACACCCCATCCAGCACAGTGTCCTCACACCAAGGGACTCCACCATCAGCAGAGATGATGCCCCAGGTCCAAGAACAGGGACAAAATTAACTGAATTAATCAATCTCAGAACCTCCAGGTCTTTCCATTACAATACAGGCCACTGTGGCCAGGTAAGGAGACAGCAGTGAGTAACCTTGGTGTCTGCTCAGGAGGAACATCCCTCTGCACTGTGTCCAGCTCTGGGGTCACCAGCAAAGGGAGGACATCAACCTGTTGGAGCAAGTCCAGAGGAGGCCATGAAGATGATCAGAGGGAGGGAGCACCTCTGCTGTGAGGAAAGG